CATTCCAAAACCTCTGATGAAACACCCCCAACAACGATTGAATCTTTCATGTTCCCCCCCACTCCAAACAACCTAACTTCAATCGGACCCTTTATATACCGAATGCCTAGTGTTGAAGATCCTGCTAGCATGTCACTCCTTTTCCCAATTCCAAGCCCTAACCTTAGCACACCCATTGAGACACAACACAATGCTCCCAAATTTGGCACTCAAAGCTCTACTTTTGTGGCCCAAACATCAGACATGAAATACCTCGATCCAAATCTAGGTCATATAGACAATATTGGTAACTCTTACAATCCCACTTGGAGTAGGTCAATCCTGAATCCATTAGAAAATTTGGTGAAGGTCAAACGTGTTTACAAATGTGAGCCATGTCGTGTGTGGTTCCAGAGTGCGCAAGCCTTTGGGGGCCATATGAGCTATCATAGTAAGGTAAGGAAGGGAAAGGGTGTGATAGCAGTAGAATTAGACCCAGTGAAATCAAAGAAGACTAAGATTGAACCACAGATCAAGTCAATGAACAAAGAAACAGAGGCTAAGATGCACACACCAATGAAATCGAACGTTATTAAAGAATCCAAGGAAAGCATCTGTGAGGTCCTTAGCAGGTACAACTACAGGAATGAAGGTGTTGAGCAAGAACCAATAAATGATGATTTTGAAGAATTCCAGACCAGAAATGATCCAATTTAAGCAACTGCACACGAGAAGAGTTCCACACCAATATGCCCTATGATTTGGAGTAACCATCACTACATGGATCTTACCTCTTCAAAGTTTAAAGTGCAGTGTATCAAAGAGTTCTCAAGTGCTTGTTCCTTACCAATATTTACATTAGTGTTGCTATCTGTTTATATATAATGTAACTATGCTAGAGGAACTAGCTTTATTGTTGAAGATGTTTTCTAGTAGTTCTCAAGGACTTCTACTCTCTCATGTATCAATATCTTCTCAAAAAGAAATTATACAAGTGATTTTGCAGATCAACATGAAGAAACCTAAAGGTGCATGGATTCATACTCTAATTTCTTCAAATAACAAAGTTCTTACCATGACATGATATGGAATTCTATGTTGCAAATGCAAAGTGTTAGAGTCTACATACTGTTTGTACAAAACTAAACGGAAAATGAAAACAGAAAAATACCACAGGGTTCTTCGTTCACAAAATACAACTAATTTCTAGTATGGGAAAACTAGGAGCTATGTTGTGGAGACCATTGTTTTGTTCTTTTTGGTTCATTGTTTGGCTAAGACAACCAAAAAGAAAGGGGAAAAAAGTAGGGAGGCTTCATGATTTTCCATGTCAATGGAGAAACAAGGAATCAAATTAACAATTTCATGATTTCCATGTCAATTAAGAAAGAAGGAACTAAATAAACTATTTTTATATACAATAAATACCTTAGGTAAATGAATTATATTTTACTTTTTTTTTAGTTCCTACCCACTAACAAAAACAGATTTGTTAAGAACTTACCTCAACCCCCTTCCTTTCTAAATTACTTTAAAAGAAGAGAGAAAGCATAAACATTGATAAAATTCATTTTCATGCATTGAAGTATGATTGACCAAATTTTGCAATCTGAAACAGAGGTTGAGGCATACCTCAGACGCATACATCCCAAATAATGAGAGATGCATGAGATGGAGAATCATTTTAAACAACACTGTTGGTAAAGAACAAAAATAGCTAGGAGTTCTTCCAACATGAAATAGAAGTGGCTTATCAGAAGTTGACATCCACACAAAAGACCAAGTTCCTTTTTCTATTAAAAGTTTCCAGTATAAGATTTTACCAGATAAAATTTATAGAGGCTGTTTTGTAAGGAAACAAGAACCATTCCCATGCATAAAAATGTTGGATTGGTTAAACTTATTGTCATCCTAAAGAGGGAAAAAAATTTATAGTGATCATTGATTAGATAAGAACTTCAAGCCAAATGTAACTTGCAAACTTCTTTCAGCATAGATGTAAAGTTGATGTGTGTTTGTATCTTTACATAAACAAAGAAGAAAATCATAAACTTCCTAAGTCCACTGACTCTATTTATCGACATACTCTAACTACTACTATATATAAATATAATTTGTCATGGATACAAACATGAAAAGTTTTACCAAAAATAGTCGTCACACTTGCTCCTCCTGATCTCAGGAGTACAAAAATGAGGCAAAGGAGAAGGGTCATCTAAGTACATGAATGTGTCCGTACTCAAGAAGTCATTTGCCACGATACCTAAATCCAAGGGGAAGGAAAAAAAACCTTAGTGTCAGGAGTAAAAAAAAAACTAGAAATAATAAGCAAGTAGAGTTTCAGCATACAGCCTACAATAATAACAGTCTTAATAAAGCATGACAACTTACCAACATTGCAATTATGATTTTAGGAGTAGATTTTATGTTTCATTTAATTGACATCTACAAAATTCAGATCATGAATTTTCAGAAATATACACTTGAGGCTTCCTCCTGGTAGCAATCCTAGCTGCTTCTCTAAACAACCATTATCTTATAATTTCCTAATCTCTAAACAACCATGCTTCTATACATTTTTATGCAGCTAATTTTATTATTTCAGTGCTGTATGATTATCATACAATATTTTGACTGAGATATCTATCATTTGTAAATTTTACTGGATCCAAGAGTAAAAATAATGATCACACCAGATCCTCACTCAATTATGTCCCTTTTGGCTATTCACTTATATTAATTAAAGAAAATATCAAATAGGATGTTTAGTCTAGTGGTATGATTCTCGCTTTGGGTGCGAGAGGTCTTGAGTTTGATTCTCGAAATGCCCTTAGCTTTTTTTTTTTTTATTCAGATAGTTGAGACTTTATGTCTTTGTTGTCGTTATATACACCTAAGATCTTTTGGCATGCATGTTTTTGTCGATTTCATAAAAAAATTATGCACAGAGGTATCAAGAACATGAACTTATTGCCCATCATATTGAGTTGATAACTTTAAAACTTATATCCATATTAAATTAAGCTTAAATATAGCTATGACATACAAGTTATGGAAAACTTTCATGCATATTTTAGTAAAAAAGGATGCACAAACTGTGTAAAATTAGCACCAATATTAAGAATAGTTTCCATGTTAATTAATGGCAAAATTGAAGTTAATATAACTGCAAGAAAAGACCAAAAGAAAACAGGAAAGATGACAAATTATGATGCATTACAATTAACAGAGGAATAAAGTGTGCCTCTTTCCTAGACTGTACATTCACTACCTGTCATCAGTGTAGTTAAATTCTTTGCTTTAACTCCAAAGTAGAAGTGTCTGTGCTACACAACATAGAAAAGGTGAATATGGCACTCTGGTCTACAGTCATATGTGGTGAATTTGCTAAAAATAAAACATACCAAATTTCATGTTAATATGGCTTGTAAGCAATGCACAATATTAGAAGCACAATAATGAAGTGTATGTAGCTCAATAATAATATAAAAAATAACTGACAAAGTTTCACGCAAGCATAATTTGCTACTACTATATTAGGACTGCCACAATATCAGAACTAATGCTCAACCAGGACAACCCCAATAAACATGGGAAGAGTCTGTTCCGACATCACTTAACAGTGTCAGATGCCATTTTCCATCTTGTTTCAATTGGTGGATATGCCAATGCATATCTTTGCATACAAGGACAATCTTTCCATGTACAATATATATACACTGAATTTTATCCAAAATTGGCATTGACAAGGAAAAAATGTGCTAATTCGAGCTTGTGAGTAGGAAAATAGAAGAACTTGAACATCAACGAGCTCAAGCAATTGATCAACCTACTTTCCAAGTCAAGTGTTTTAAAGAGTTCGGTAGCTAAGAAATGTGAAACAATATTCCGCGCAAAAAGGAATGTAAAAACAATATCAAGCATTAGATGCATAGTTTTCTGAAATGTTGCAGCAAAAACAATATCAAGCATTCTATAACCATACTTTGTTGGTTAGAATTGTATTCACCTATGATGTATGTATGTCTCACCTTTTCCTACAATAGCTTCATGACATATAAAATCAAGCAAATACTCTAATAAAAAATAATGTATGTACGTATATATATATATAAAAGATGACTAAAGAAACAAAAAAAGAAACTATTAAAGTAGTTTCTCATATCAATGTATTTTTTCTAGTTTGATATGCAAGGCATGTGATATAGTTAGCTCAGGCTTTGTATAAGTGAGGGTTTAGGATCTCTTTATTTTTTGAGCATTTGAATAACATTTATTAAGTCTATTTAATTTAATTAAAATTAAGTTAAAAATTATTTAATATTTATTTATTATTAAGAGTTTACGTCTGATGATTCTAGGTGAAACTCTGATGTAATCATTTTTTTAAGAGACGATGAAATATTATTCAGTCTTTTGATAAAATCCTAGAAAGCCGATCCTGAAGTGATTATTCCTTTTTCTCTTCTTCTTCCGAAATAAAACCTTAAGGTCTTATCATAATATAATTGACTCGTAGACGATAAATAATTAAACAGTACAACAAGGGAAAAGAGAAAGTAATCAATAACATGTGCAGAGGTCTTTACCACAGATATGAGGACCTGCAAATGCATCAACGGAGAGTGCTGTGGATCACAAACAACCGATCAAGATATCAGTAAACAATTTGATCTGCGACTTACCTATTTAGATCCCTCCGCTCGCTGCAAAGGATGGATGGTTTAGCACTTCAACCTCCTTAAAAGATGGCTTCAGCTTGACCAGTATTTTCTTTTCTACTTTCGTTTTCTTGATGATCAAAAGAAACTGATGATTCCCTCCTAATCAAAAAATGACGGAACATTTTGAAGTTTTACTTGCGGAAGAAATGAAAACAAAGAACGGAAATCAAGAAAAATAGTTTTTTTTTTGTTTTTTGTTTTGGGCTTCTTTTCTAATGGTTTCGTTTGGGGACGTCTCTGCCTTCTTCCGAGTCTGGAAAGCGGTGGGGAAAATCCTGTCTTTACGGCGAGATTGCGGGTTATCGAAACCCTAAACCGACAGGTTGATGACCGTTCAAGCAAGAGGGTCCCATCAAAGAGAGTGCATCTTGACCGTTGATTGAAGATTATGAAGGGGTTTAGCGGTTCAAAGCGTACCCCAAAGCCCTCTCTGGGGAGGAGGGCAAACGACGGCGGCGTCGGGGAAGATGCTCAGATTGCTTGGCTCCTGAGGTAACCCTTCTTTTGCTTGGCTTCTGAGCTCGATAGTTGTTTTCTTTCTCGATTGCTTCTGCAACCGCAATGGGACTCCTTGAATCATCAAGAACTATTCGTCGATTTCGTGTGGAGGGACTCCTTGAATCATCAAGAATCTATCTTGGATGTCTTACGCCTTGGAAATCTACTACCAGCAGAGTTAGTGGTTCCCAGAAACGGCCCTTTGTCACGAAAAATCTACTTGGTTCTGCGAAAAATCTCATCTTTAGACATAACAGCACTTGTTCTTCCGTAAGACACTTATCTTTGGTCGAGTTCAGAGGTTTTTGCACCGATGTGGTTCCCAAAGAATCACAGACTATTAGTCAAAAGACTCTTGCCGTTGCGGAGGTCCAGGCTGCTCTTGTGGATTACCTTCATGGCACCAGAGGCATACTGTCTGATGATGCAGAGCACATCAGCAAGCACTGCCCAGTTTTTCTTGCCAAGCTCTTGAAGAAGGTAGAGAACGAAGATAATATTGGCAACGCGATGTCTCGATTCTTTCACTACCACCCCATCAATGAATTTGAGCCATTCTTTGAGAGCATTGGTCTGACATCAGATGAGATTAGCTCATTGCTTCCTCGGGATTTGATGTTCCTTTCTGATGATAAAAAATTGATTGAGAACTATAATGGTCTCTGCAATTATGGCATTGCCCATGGAAAGATTGGAAAAATATACAAAGAAGCTACTGAAGTTTTCAGGTGCCACTTCAGGGTTTTGGAGTCAAAGCTCGGGGCTTACGAAGGATTGGGCCTTAGTAAAAGTACCATTATTAAAGTTGTTGCTTCAAGTCCAATTCTTCTCATAGGGGGTGTCAATGATGAGTTCGTTAAGGTGCTAGAGGAGTTGGAGAATATAGGTATCCAGAGAGATTGGATCGGAGGTGTTCTTTCAGAAAAGAATGCATACAACTGGAGCCACATGCTTGTACTTTTACAGTTCTTTATAGAGCTGGGATTTACAAAAGAGGCGCTGGGGGACTTGATCCGAAGACATCCTGGTTTTATGCTGGATGGTTCAGGAAGTGCCATCTTTTTGCTGGTAGGATTGCTGCTGAAATCTGGTGGAACCAAAAAGAAGTTATTCAGTCTATTCTCACAATTCCCAAATGTACAATTTGGTATCTTTATGGGGAACTTGTGGCATGGAGTGATGTTTCTAGTTAAAATTGAAATGGAGACTGCAGATATTCACAAGATTTTACTTAGTCACACGGAAATGCTTGGTTCTTGTCCTTTGAAGGCACCCGAAACCATTATTACTGAACTGCTTGTCCGTCCAAAGCAATTGTGTCAAATCATAAAGGAGGACCCAGATCAGTTAAAGAAATATGCATTGGGGATAAAGGTCAAACCCTTGAGGACAAAGGCCAAACCCATAGCGAAATCTAATGAGCACGAACAGTCACTTAGAGAAAAGAGAAAGTTCTTGGTGCATCTAGGGTTTATTGAGGACTCGAAAGAGATGGAGAAGGCACTCACACTGTGCCGTGGCAAGGGTGATGAACTCCAAGATCGTTATGACTTTTTGGTGAAATTGGGACTGGACCCGAATGACGTATCTAATATGATCAAAGTGTATCCGCATGTCCTAAATCAGAAGATAGATGTCCTAGAAAGCAAGATTTCTTTTCTTACAAATGATCTGGGTTATCCCGTAAGTTCACTAGTGGCATTCCCATCATATTTGTGTTACACTGTTCAGAGGGTGAGTTTAAGGTTGTCAATGTACGATTGGCTCAAGGGTAGAGGAAAGGTCAAGTGTAGACTAGCTCTAAGCAGCATCCTTGCATGTTCTGATAAGAAATTTATGAAGCGGTTCGTAAATGTTGACCCTGAGGGCCCTAAAGTCTGGGAAGACCTAAAGAACTCATGCAAGCCTGCATTATCTTCAAGTTAGGTAATTCCTCCACTCTTATACTGCTTGTGTGCTTCTAAACTGATGTTGGTCTAAGATGCATATTATTATCATTTTTTTTCCTATGGAACATGTAAGGTAATTTTTTTCTACTTGAAGCGAAGAGCAGTGATGACAATTTTTTTGCTTTTACTTTGTGTACCACTCTATTTTCGCTAAAGCTATACTTAATTATCACTTCTGGTGGAATATTACGTGTTGTAGATAGCTAGTAGAGATTGTTGTGAAGTATGTGAAGATTTGCTTAACCACAAGTCCATCTTATGTGTCCATCTCTAGCTGTCACTAGTACATGAATGTGACGAGTAATGGTTTTAACTTGTATGAACACTTTAAAAGTGGCATGCATTGCTTATATAAATCACTACTTAAGAGACAACTTTTACTAGAACATTGAATGTGACAAGTAACAGAGAACAAAAAATTCTAGTTTTAACGTGTGAACAGATAGAAGTGACATGTATTGACTATATAAAGCAATACTGAAGATGGAGTACAAGGTAGATACTCAAACGATGAGATGCCATTCCGGTTTTTTTGGTTTCACTGCATGCTTGTGAAGCACATATATTTAGAAGGTGAGGGATTGACAGTTTAGAGCAATGTGGATGACATTTTGGTTAAAATAAAGTATTGTTTTTCTAGGTAAAAATTATGTCACATAGAGGAGGTTAAGACATCTAATCTAAATCATAATTTTTTAACATGAAAGATATTGTGGAAGATGAAACCTCATCAAATTGCGATTTGGCCAATGAGAATCAGAAAATAGAACTGCAAAAATCTGAAAATGTTATTTAATTATAGCTGCAGTTAGAGATGAAACTGCTGTCAAAAATGTTTTTCTGACTGATAAAAATAGATGGCGTGACGCCTGTATTATTAATGGGAGCTCTGAATTCTGTGAAAAAGATGATATCTCTTGGAATTTTTGAGAAGATAAACTAATGCCTAGTCACCTTATGCTCTCAGATAAACTAATGATGATATCTCTTGAATTATGTGGCAATATGCGTTGTCCTGCAGATCTAAGACCTACTAAAGAACATAGACTGGGATGGATTACTTCCTTGTGCTGTCACATTCTTTTCTTCTTTAAATTTGTAGTTTCATTCTATTTCTTGTCCACTGGAGAGGGGGATCTACCCACCCCTTCTCACCATCTTTCTGAAGAGGGACACAGACTGTGGTTCCATATGGCAAAACCAGTGTGTTTGTCCAAAAATTTCAGATAAACACCATCTTGTGGCATCAAAGACCCCACCAATCAAATATCTGTCTTTTAATATAATTTTTAACCTTTTAATATAGTTGAGCAGCAGTCCAGAACTAGTGATCCTCCTGCTTCCTCCATGATGCATGTAATACTGTACCTTTTCTGGCACATAGGTTGACTCTATCTATCTAACATCTTGTCTACTGGAATGCAAAAAAATTCAATTGATGGTTGTGATGTGTATTGATTACTAATTTTCGTTATCGTTTTTTATTTTTATCTTAGCAGTCATTCAGTGATCCACAGTCCCTATCATGTATGCCACTTAAAGATGATCTTTTCTTTTCTTTTTCTTTTTTTGTCTATAGAGACCCCCCTCCCCCAACCAGAAAGCTGTTTAAGCAAATTTACTTGTTTTGGTTTTTCAGCAATCTAACAAGTTGTGCATAAATTTGGTTACCTAATCACTCTTAGATTCATACAACACACCCAGCGGAACTAGCAAAATGAAGATTCCTAGACAAAATGAAATTTAAGATTTTCTTGTTAATACTTTTTTTCTTTTCCTTCATAGACAGACACTTACTTTGTCCCACTTGATGGCGTGCTCTAACAAAGCTCAACCCATCAGGTTAAGGCACTGCAGCCCTGTTCTAAAGCCTTGATTGGGCTACTCCATAGAACCTGGAATAACTTGGAACACTCTTAAATTTCCTTCTCTATTCCCTTCGTCTCAGTCATCCAAGTGGCTGCCACTCCCTTTTTTTTTTTCTACGTTCCCTTGCTGTATAATACATTTGATTCTCTGTTTTCGGCTCTTGTGCAGTTGATCTTTCAGATAACTTGAGAAAAGGTTGGACTTTTGTTTCACTTATCGATGCTCGGCGTTGGTGAATTCCAAGTCAGATGCATCACATACATGGATCTAATCCCAAGCATGTTTCTAAAAAGAAGATCTCTACCTCAATACAGAGACATATCAGACTAACCTTTCTCAAAGAAATAAAGAGTAATCAACAGCACACTGATCGAAAGAAACTATGCTCTGTGCTAATCTGTCACCAGAGTTAATGCTGCATGGATGCATTCAACACGGGGACGAGCAACGCATGCTTCACAAACATATTCAAGCTATCATCTTGAATTCAACATGTAAAAAGCAACGAGTACCGAAGCATGCATGATAGGATATTTCTTAGTATAAAGGTATACGATAATTAGCAAAATATTTCTTAGTATCATATCATATGTCACCCACACCAACTTCCATGAAATTTCATTTCAACTTCTCAATTAATGGCAGTAAATGCATATCAATATTGACTTATGCACTTTACATGAAAAATATTAGATTTCGTGTGCAATCAGGATATCACGGTTCATTGGCATTAGGCTTCTCCTCAAAGTGAGCATCTAAAATGTCATGCACTGAATTATCATTTGAATTATTTTTATCACTTAATTATTTCCCATGATATGACCATTTAGTATGTATATAACTTGTGATTATTCAGTTCACTGCTGGATCAGTATCAACCTCATCAACAGTCATAAATATAACACTGTTGCATTTCCAACAAGGACATGGCCAACTCATCTGTAAATGCAAAGTCTATCAATTTTCATACTCCTTTTTCTACTTGGGCCCTCGATTTGCCTCCTTGTTGCATCCAACTTTACTCGATCATAATTGCGTCAATTAATTATAATTGTATCATTCGGGACCATAAAGATTAAAAAAACACACTATTATAAAAAATAAACATATATATGGATTGATTTTGATTGTTTTTCCACTCTACAGATAAGGTTGAGATGTATATAATAATCTATTTGAAAAAGTTTGTTGTTAATTACATAAGGCCTGCAGCTTGATTTGCTAAACTTACTATTTCTTTGTTGTTATCAGGATTTCATACTACAGGATGAATCAATGCATCACTCTCATTTTACTCTATATTGACATTTCTAAACTTTACCATAATCAAAGACTTGATGTCCTTTATTTTGTGTAAATCTCATAATTTATGCATATGGATTAGGATTACGTTCGATAAGGATGTCAATGATATTTTTTTCTTAATAATTATGATTAGATGATAAGAAATCTAAAACATTAAGTTATCGAAATAGAATTCATTGTATGCTCAAGACACCTATACTAGGATCTGTCGGGTGACAGGGATGAATCCAGATGATGCTGAGCTGTTGCACAATGGCCCAAGGATGATGATGCATGCGTGCATGACATGGTAAACGCCCATATGCAGCGCATCCCCCCGCTGCAACTATTCCGCATTTAAGAAACCCCCAGATTCACTGGGCCTACACTGCGTCATGCACAGTGTGACTGCCGACCCAGCGATCAGAGCCGTACGCCTAAGAACGTGGTGTGCAGGAGCACCGACTAGGCCACTGCAGGCCTCCCCCAATCATTCGCCGATGCCTGTTGATCCGACCAGCGAAACGCACCCTCCGAACTGGAATCACGATGTGCCGGAGCTTCACGTTTCTGCTGTCTCCACGAAACACATGACTCGGCTCACGAGTCCGATGGACTCCTTCCTCAAAGCTTTCGTGTACGCTCGGGAATCCGTGTCTTAGGGCCTAGCAAGAGCAGACCAGGCCAGTCTTGGAATTTGGGGTTGCCTTCACCTTCCTCCTTGTAGGACGCGAAAGCTTCTTGTAACTGCGTGCCCATGGGGCCTTGGTCTGGTACCGAGAACCAATAGGTTGCCCCCACCTCGCCTTGCCTACTCGCTCGGGCTTGCCCGAGACAAAAAGGACGAGGCTGCGAAGCGACGATGCTGCTTCGGCCGGCCACCAGGGGCGGGGACGGGCGTTGTCTCCGTCGTCCCTGTCCCGCCCCGCGCAGCTGTACCTAAACGACTCGCCCGAGTCCAACAGAAGTCGATGGAGATGGTACCGCGGCATGGAGGAACAGCGAGAGATTCCCACCGGAAAAAAACCCAGGAATACTCGCATGCTACATGTCAGAGGAATTGCCCGATCGAGGTCCCATGTACATGTCCTGAACGAATCACGCGATCGAACAATCGATGCATGTTTTGGCTCCTGGTAGTCACAAGCAGGTTCTGCTCTCATGAGATCACAAGCACAGGTGAAGAAAAAGGTCACTCACCAGCATGGAGAGAGAGTTGCAGCTCAACCAAGACTAGATTTCCAAAAGAATCCAAAGGAGTTTGATTATTCCCGGACTATGTTCCGTGTGTGTTGCTGCCCCCATCGACTCGCAGTGGGGTCATTTTGATAATTGCATCGAACATACTGATGATAGATTCTCTTGTTGTGACGAAGTAGATAAATGAAATCTAACAGTGGGCTGCTTGTTGTGTAGATTCTGCTCGTATATAGTAGCTCCTCCACACACTCTCCTCTTCTACCGGTCTTCTCTCATCTATTAGCCTTTCCTGTGGCTCGCCTCCTCTTTGAGATTCACATTCCCTGTTCCGTCAAATTTGACTCGAGTTTCCGTTCAAGAATCACTCTTTAGTCATCAAACTCCCGACTTTATGCTGACCGAGTGAGAAAGATGCGTCCTTTCTTATTTACTCATGGTGATGGCAGAGGCTGCTACCGGTGAAGAGCTGAAGCTCGTAGGAGGTCAGTTTCAAGAGCTTCTCACGGCCGATAAACCTCAATTTCATCTCTTCCGGGCATCCGAATTATAAAAATTGTTTCTTTCTCCTTACGTTTGACGTTAGACGAAATCGTCTCGGTTTCCTCGAATCAATGGTGTGCTCCGATCTCAGCTTTTACAGACAAAACAGATCACGGGAACCTCCGATGCTAAAAATTTCAAATATTTATGTAGAGTCGATCGCTATTTTTTGGGCTTCTTTGCTTGATCTGACTTCCGTAAGCCGTTCTGGTAATCGCTGGTTTTTATCCCGATGTCCTTGTTCTTGGTTTCTTGCTGGAAATTGTATCAAAACATGTTGAAGGTATATGAAGGGCGCAATTTGGATGTCTATACCGACAACAATAGAATTCTCCAGTAGCTAGCTGATTGCCTCCTTAATATTTTCTCTTCCTTCTCTCTTTTGCAGTACAAATGATCATCTGAGCTGTTTCGATTACCGGTTTCGGTTTAATGGGTAGAGGCAAAGGAAAGGGGAAGAAATTGACCTTGGCCACTAGCAATGAGGATCGAGGGAGTGGTGATGAAGAGGCGATTCCTGCATATAAGAGGAGAGGAAGGCCTCAGAGACGTTTGAAGGATGACATCGATGAAGACGTCACCGAAAAGATCGAGGATGGAGAAGATGATGTGAAGCACACTTCTGCGCCAAGCAAAGATCCCAAGGTCTCCACGGTGGTGAACGGAAAGAAGAGGAAGAGACACGGCAAGGCAAAAGACAACCCTGCCTTGATCTTGGAGGAAAACTTCGGAGCTGCATCCAAATCCAACAACGATGATGTGACTGGGTCTAATGGTTTCCGGCATACCGGGAGCCGGCGGAAGAGCAAGCCACGTCGGGCTGCTGAAGCTGGAGTTGAGTGCAAGTGAGACTAATGGTTTCATCCTATGCTTCTCCCCTTCCTTCCGTTGCCAAACATTGTCGATGGCTGAGAACCTCACTTGGTGGATCACTTCTCTTGTTCTTGTGCCGATCTTTGTTACGGTCCAACTCTTATCTCGTTGATGAATTCACCAGAGGCCAGAGAGTAGACATATCATGTAATTTTCTATTAGCACAGAGCTGGTAAGAAGACATTAGCTTAGCTTCTCCTTGCTGAGTGTTCTGAACATCAAAAAAAGGTTTTCTTGATATCAATTTTGTTGCCTCTCTGTTCTTCTATCATGAATCGTGTCAACATTTTTTGGGATGCTTCTCATCTTCCAGGTTTAATTACATGACATTCTCTGCCATTGCTTGATCGTATGATGTCATATGTGGGACTTCAGATGCCAGCTTTTGCCCCCATCTGTTTCTGATGTGATTCAACTTAATTGCTGGAAAATTTGGTTGCTGTCACTCAGATTTGTAATGGGATACGTCTGCCATTGTATGTTTGTATTGTTTTGGCAGTGGAATTTGCATTAAAGATGGATGCCTTGTGTACTCATATGCCATTTCCTGCTTGTTGTGTCAGATTGTACTGCTACGAGTACATGGTTTGGTGTGTGTTTCGCATGCTTCTGTCTCTGTATTGCCTGATGGTCACACTTGATCCATAACAAGTCTTCTCATGCAGTGTCATTTAGTTGCAAGTCAATATTGGGTGGATGAGTTATCCTACCTCAAGTAGTAGATGGCATCCTAAACTAATGTTTCTACTGCTTCAGATGAAAGAACAATGTAAGATCAAAAGTAATTGTCTAAATGAAGAAAAACCTCTGCTTGTTTTACCTCAAATTTGCACATTTATTTCATTCATATATGATATGTGGTAGGAGGCTATTGCTTAACTCTTCTTGTCATGATAATTTGTCTGATAATTGAAAATAAAAATTAAACTTTATTCATTCTTGTAATTAACCTGATGCTAAAATAAATTTATTTTTTTTATGAAAAGAAAATTTATTTTATTAATTTAGTAATGTCGAATCAGAGTTCGAGAATAAATTAGGATAAAATTATGTACAGCTAAAAAAAAATTATGAGCAACTAATATGATGTTATAAGATTTGGGATTAGCTTTAAAAGATCATAAAATATCATATGCATAGAAACTTGTTCGCCATGATGTTAACCGAGATAATTCTATCTTTAGCAGTCTTGTCATGCAAGATGTTGCTAAGAATTTATTGGACAAAAATGAAAAAATAAAATAAGATTGGATCTCATTGCCTAACACTTTGAGATCTTACCATTGACGAGAAGGGACTGTCAAAGAGAGGAAACATAATGTGAGACCCACTTAACAAATTGAAGAGGAAAATTTATTTTATTCATAGCCTCCTCCGTAACCACCCAATAAATCTTATTACAAGATCTCTCAAAATCTAGTTTGATAAGAATCAATATGTATTTTCTTTTAGATTTGAGCATTGTGTAAGTTAACTTTGTGACAATAACTATATTATCATTGATATTATACTTCGACACAAAAGTGGATTGTTCTTCATCAACCCACCTCTTAAAGATGACCTCTAGACCTATTGGCGAGGACTTTAGTTAAGAGCTTGAATATTACATTACAAAAAGCAAAGTGTCGATAATCTCTCATTCTAAAGCTATTAGGTTTCTTAGAGGTAAACACCAAAAATATATTGCCCCAATTAGAAAGGAGATAGGTCACGAATATTATCTTGCTTTACAGAACTCATGTGAAAAAACTTAGTATTAATGTCACCTTCCTCAACCCATTAAATTTTGACTTTAGACCATCAATTATGATACAATTAGTGATTGAAAGTAATGACATTGTTTAAGCTAATCAAAGCTTTGTCCTCAACCTTAGAAAGACCCATGCACCTATCTTTAGATTCAAGCAAATCAATTTCTATGTAAATATCTCTAACCTTAATCTCAAGGCTACTTAATCTTCATTTTTTATTATTTTTGCCCTTGTCTCTGTTTACAATAACGTTTACATTGATATTACAAGACAAATTATTTATCCTTCTATCTTTCTGAATCTAATGATTAGTATTTTGGGAAACTATTATATATAGACGCTCCTCCTATACCATCTATACCTTCATTAGGTCCATTGGATAAAACAACAAAGTGAACCGTTGCAGCCCCTTTAGCTTCTCAATGCTTGCCCCTCCCCCCCCCCTCCCCCCCCCCCCTCCCCCCCAACTTGTCCCCTTGAGCCCTATACTCAGGGTTTAATCTACCTAATATATTGGTTATAGTCTTACTTACCCTCAACACCGACTTGATTCACCTCAACCACCTGATTCGAACAATCGGACCTGGTCTGAATATATCATGGCTTCCTTTGGACCCAAATCCAGGGTTCGTACAATATATCGTCTTTTGTTCGAAAGCTTTAGAATTTTTCTCTTGTGAACAAACTTTCCTTGTTTCCATTAGTTTCATCAAGTAGATATTAGTTCGATGCCCTACTCTTTTACGAGAAAAGGATAAACTTAGAATATTTTCATAGATGATGGATTGAAAAATTCTAGTAAAATCATTCTTAATCCACACTCCTTGTGGAAGAGTATTTTTATATACTTTTCGCTTGTGCTACACAGTATGATGTTGTCTAATTTAATAGGTTCACCCACTAGTTTAGTAAGTTTGTAAAGATGTTTGGGCATAATATTTTCACTAATCTTCTAGAAAGCTATAGCCTCAGCCTTCCATCATCCTCTCACACAAGAGTCAAAAATTCTCCCAAACGTCAAAGCTTGCCCATGTACAAACCAAGGTCCCATCAAATTACTAAACTAAATCCCATCAAATTAAGATAAATTTATGATCGTGTTATGTGATACTAATATATTAAAGCTGCTCCACAATCTACCATCTACATCATGCTTGAAAAAGCTTGTTGCTAAGATCGTTTGACAGCTCCAAGTATAAACCATAATCCATCTTCCCTTTGAGACCATTTCTTGTTCTCTTGAGGTGAAAGAACCATTTATAACCTCCAATGTATCTAAGTTCTAAATGTTGCTTCTCTGGAATTTTGATTTACTTGAGTGAAAGTTCTGTACCAATATGTTAAGTATTTTCAAGTGAAAGTTTGTTGGGGGAAGAGATGCTGCATTCATTGAAGAAACATAGTGCAGTGGGACTTTGCCTACATTCTCTTTTCATATTCAACTATTGACATGAATCAAGATTTTGGCTTCTAATATGGGAGGAGCCAAGAAATTGTGGAGAAGAATCAGTTGGGTAGATGGAAAATTACATGGAGTATAAGTGATTTATTTTTGTATGGAGCAAACTGTTTGAACCACCATTATACATATAAAAAAATGGTATATAAAATTACGTTATGGTGAAATTTTAGTGCAAAAGATAGAAATCACTCTCCTCAACTACAAGTCCACATATGCAATTTTGATCTTAGATTTTTTGTTTCACAAACGTAGTTAGGATTAGTTCTGAACACATGACTTTTGGCACTCTCTCACCTTAAATTTTTGTCACTGTCATTAAAACTTAGGTTGTTAGATGAGATATAATTTATTAATCTATATTCGTAATACTTCTCATGCATAAGTGATAATATGGCTCAACCTAATATATGCAAATTAATTATAATTTTTAAGCATAGTTTGGATAATGATCAATTAAACATAATTATCAAGTATCAAAACAAGTTATAAGTTTAAACGTTGTATTTGTCCCTTTATATTCTGTATAGTTTTTAATTAAAAATATTCATGCAAAGTTCTATTTCTATTCGGACTTATACTGGATACTCAAGTCTAATTTGGCTCGTATGTTAAAAGGAACTTTAGGACTTACACAACTTGATATTTTGGTAATCAAATCAAAATATTTAACATGACAAACATGTATTGTTATAAGTGTATATGGTTCTCTGATTTGACTGATGATTCGGATCTCATCGTGACCCTTTCTTGAGAATGCTATAAGTTTATTACGAGTGAAAATACTGAATCCAGACCTTGCAAGATTGCACTAGAGTTGTGCTTAACAAAGCTCCTTCCATGTTTAAGTCAGCAATAATATTCAGAAGATTTAAATTATATTAAATCTTAAGAGAGATTGAATAGATCAAACATGAGTCCCTTATTGTTACGTATGTAAGAGTTTATATAATAAGATAGATGACTATGAGAATTAGGAGAGTATCCATGAGAATTAGAGTTGGAGATTCAAAATAATAATCTGAGTTATCAATACATTACTATGTGTTTAATTGTGTACTAAATTCAGATATCTCAAAGTCATTTAATGATTTTTCTGTCAATTCAAACATTCTTTAATATGGTGCCAATGTATCAACCATATATTGTTGAGGTAACGATCATATATTATTGAGGTGTTGTCAACCTACCAAGTATCATTTTCCCATATCATTTGCCTCTCATCATGCCTTGGCAATGCGGAGTAGTGTCAGAGTATAAGGTGATTTTTTTGGGCTATGGATCTTACATAAAATAAAGAGTTTACAATTTAACACAAATCTATCTAGGTAATTTGAGTGGTGCTATGCTCCAATTCGCCTATATCACTTCGAACTATTTCAATCACTTTGCAATTGAAGACAGTGCTTTGGGTTGTTTCAATCGAGTTATTATCGAAGATAACCCTTTGAGTCGATTCGGTCATTATCATTGAAGATAGTGCCTCGAGCCATTTCGATTGTGTTATCATTTAGGTAATACTTCATGTCATTATTGATCATGCTATCATTAATAGTAGCTTTGGGTCATTTTGATCATAATGATAATGGTAATAGTTTGAGTCATTTTGACCGTATTGTCGTTAAAGGCACCACTTTGGGTTATTTCGAATGCATTATCATTAAAAGTAGTATTTCGGGCTATTTCGATCATACTATCATCAAAGGTAATACTTTAGGTTGATTCAATCATACTATTGTCGAAGGTAGCGCTTCATATCATTTTGATCATACTAGTGTTTCGAGTTGTTTTAATTGTGTTGTTATCAAATATAGTACTTTGGGCTATTTCGATCGTGATATTATCAAATGTAGAGGTTTGGGTTATTTCGATTGCGTTATTATTAAAGATAGTCTCTCTTGTGGAGCTAACTTATTATTAGGTCTGATCCTCGTATCTTAGACATCTTATATTTTTTGTCGTTTGTGGATAGTGATTATGTATCAATTTTGCCAAGGAGTCCGATCGACACATGCAATCTATCTTTGTCGCATTGATTTTCTATAGATGTATCATATATGTAGTTTTGTCATATGTGATCAAGATCGAAATCGCTTTCCTTACGACTCAATATTGATGTTATAATTTTTTTCATAAATGTCATTAGGTTAAGTTTTGAACATATGATTTTTTGGCTCTTAATCTATATTCTTAATACTTGTACAGTACGAGAGGATAAACATACACTCTTAATCCAATGTATGAAAATTAAATAGAATTTTTTAAGCATAATTTCAAAATAATTATCACAGTGTCAAAGCAAATTATAAGTTTAAACCTTGTATTTGCCCTTTTATATTTTACATAATTTTAAATTAAAAATATTTATGCAATATTTAATTTTTATTCAGATTTACACCGTACACTTGCCTTTAGTTTTATACATCATCAAACCTAATCTAGCTGGTCTTGTATGTGAGAAGGAATATTAGATCTTAATATGACTTACACAACTTGATCTTTTGAATTTTATAGTAACCAAATGAACATATTTATCATGTATCTACCCACTCTTAGCCTAATTAGATTTGTCGAGTGAAAGAAGAAAATATTAAAAGTTTAAGAAAAAAGATAAAGCATGGGGATAGAAATACGATTCGATGAGATAATTGATCCATTAATTTTATTAATTATAAAATTAATAATAGTATATCTAAAGTTGATCTTAATCTAAGTGGATTTCCGACGTGGAACCAAACCGGAGGATCACAGTAACTTGGGGCGGATAGCTTTTGATGAGGTGGAACTTGTTTTCACCTTCGTTCCTTGATTCGGCCGGAAGTAGCTCGGAAAGTATGATTCTGGTGGAAGGAGGAGGGTGAAGCACCGCGGGAGGTCGGGCGAAAAATGCAGGAAGGCAGCTGGGGAGGATGATTTCAACCCTCGACGTGCGACGAAGGGGCAAATGTCTCTCATCAACCGGGCAGCGACCCTCTTTGATGCTGTATTTATTGCTCGGTGATTGCATGTGGTCCTCATCAGTTCATCCAACCACAGTCTTTTTGGTTCATCCACGCCATGACTTTTGAGGATCTGTTCCTGTGGGAAACGAGAAAGAGAGACGCGAACAAATCATGTAACTCCGGAGGAGGCGTAGGTCCACCACTGAAGGTTTCCCAGTAACTTCTGCTACATGCTATAATGTGGTCTGCTGTCCTTCTCTCTGTTCCACACTGATGGCAATTGCCGCTTTTTCTTTAACCATCTCTCGCTCTCTCTCCCTCCGTGAATTCTAGGAGATTTGTATGTGGATCTTTGAAGTCTTATGCTCTGATCTCCGCTTTTGACATCAGATCCTTGATCTGATTCATGAATGATTCCGCCTTTTCTTTTCTTTTGAGGAAGTTGTTCCATGAACATTTGATGTTGGCCTGATTGCTGCTATTTTGTTTGGCTAAATCTGGGAGTGCGAAGCATCATGGATTGATTCCTGAACCAATGCATGTCACATGTGTTCGACATTACTTTGTCCTCTTGAATTTTGACAGGCTCTCTTTCCGCCTGCGGCTTCTGTCAGAGAAGGGCCATTAAGTTTCTACCTAAAGGAGAAAGAAGGGCAATTGTTTGATGATGTACGAGTGTTTTCGAGGCTACTTCAATGCACATGGTTTGCATTTAAATCTCTTCTGATGCCATCTACTTCTTCTGAACAATCATTACTGATGCATGCCGTCTATGTTGCAGTTCTCTCACTGTTGTTTTATCCCGACACACACATACAAAGGCAGATAGATAGAGGCAGAAGGTAAGATTGGTCTCTCGTCGTAAAAGAGAACAGTATCTAATACACAAACTAGAATTACCTTATGCTCTTCTCAATCATACAGCAAGCGAGTTATAAACGATGTTGTTTTCCAAGATAAAAAAAAGAGTGTGTGTGTCTTCCTTGGATCTCTTATCGCTGATGTCAAGGCCAAAAGACAAAGTCTGTACGAAGCGTCGACTGCAGTCGATATCCGACCTCTGAGTCGTGACATGGATACTCCTCCAACACCATGTGCTGCAATAGTGCCATCCTGTTTGTGGGAATTCTCCTTGTTTTGCTGTCTTCATCCCCAAATTACTATTAGCAGATGCAACAGACAGACACAGAGAGAGAGAGAGAGAGAGAGAGAGAGAGAGTGCGTGTGAGTCCATATCATTTTTGGAGTAGCCTCTACGTACTTTCCTCGGTAGATTTAATTTGCATTTCTGATTCCTTCGTATGGGTTGGATATGCTGCGTGGATGCAAATGGCTATACTCATGTGGTTGTGGAAAGGGATCCACTGGTCCAGGCTACGCTTTGGACACATTCATTTGTCTGCGCTCGTAGAAATATCGCATTGCATTAACTGATACCTACTGATGCGTGCATTTGTAGTAATGCCTCGGTGCAGTGGATGAGCAAATTACATGATCTAGACAGATGTAGTAAGCTACAGAAATATATCTTTATATCTAGATAATACAGAACTATACTGGAGGGTAACACAAAAGAATAGACCGAAGCACATGAATTAGGTCTTACTAAATAGTTCTGCAAGCATCATGTACAGTAAAATCGTATCTAAGTTGAAGGTCATATGAGAGGACACACACACACACACACACACCTCTCGATCCAGCTAATTAAGTTGACCTTAGACTACGAGTTGGCCGATTGTGTTGCCCATGTGTTTGGTTTCGTGTTGTCATTAGCTCAACTCGGGCTGGTCCAAGAAAACTAGGATTGATTGTATCGTTTCGTATGATGTTTTGCAGCCATAGCTAATGATCGATGGAGATGAAGACGAGAGAAGAGACATAAACTTGGGGTTGCTGTCATTGCATAAAGCAAAAAGCACATCAAGCCAGAAGAGGAGCCGACACTGGACTTGTTCTCCCAACAAAGTTCCCAGGGAAGTTTCATGGCAGTCATTGGAATGGTTTCATTCCATTTGTGAAACCTTTTGTTGTGGCTGTTAATTCTCCCTGATGATGAAAAGAAAGAGAAAGAGAAAGATAGATAGATAGATACAGTAATCAATAACTTGTTCCACATACTTGATAATGCTGCATCAGAAAGGACCTCTTTCTTTTTCATTGTCCTGTTCTGCCAAATTAACAACCATGTGTCACCAAGACAGGGCTACATCTACACTTTGGTGTGGTACTTCAACCCATCCAAATCTTTCATACTAAAAGAAAACTAGATAAAAGGACAACATCAACAACATAGATTGTTCAACTCCCACCTCCCAAAAAAAAAAAGAGAGTGATTCGAATTGACAAGTTATAAAACTTAAAGATTAGTGTTGTCCAGTTGAGGAGGATATTAGGATTTAGAAAAAGATTGCATGAAAAATTGATGTATGTATGAACAACCATGAATGGTCTTGATCAGAAATCAATGGAGCATTTAAGATGTCTTATGTTGTGTGCTCTAAGGAAACCAATAGAGGGACCATCAGAAAAGAAAATTCAATTTTTGATTAATATGACCTAAGATAGATAGATAGATAGATAGATAGATAGATGAAAAAAAAATTCATTAATAAATAGTGCAAGTTTTAGTTGACTCAAAACAGTTGAAAATGGAAACTTTAATTCCATTAAATAGTGGTCCAGTCCTCAGCCAGTGTAATTTCTTGGAAGGGAGAGGGAGAAGGTTGAGAATCTAAGCAATTCACTCCTAGATTTCATCCTTTAATTTGCTAGATATGCGGTCAGTTCCCAAGGAGTCTGTGAGTAACAGCAAAAGTCCAAGAACCTGAAGACCCATGAGCGACCTCAATCAAATCCAAAGCTCCTTCCAAAAAGATTCTCCACCAATAAGATTCTCTTCAGGCACACAACTCCATATTATAAAAAGGAAAAGAAAGGAGGCACATCTTATCTTATCAGAGCAAAAGCACAAAGATCTACCAAAAGTTGCTTTTCCAAGACATGCACAGTCCTCAGCCCCCAGAAAACTCAAGGAAAATATATGTTTTGTATATATATATATATGACGGAAGTAAAATGTGTTCGCAGAATGAACTCTGCAAGGTGAAGGTCTCTATTCGCGTAAAGGAGCACTGTTCGGAGAGCACCGTAAGAGTACTGCCACTGTTCATCCTGGGTAGGATATAGTAAATAAGTGTACAGGCACAATCTCTCTGTCTGAATACTTTCCAGTCTGATGGTATTATGCAGCAAATAGCTCCTCAATATGGCAGTGGCAGCTTTGTGAGGCAGCAGAAAGACACAAAAACCCTTCTTTTAGCCCCACTTGCTCTCTTTAAAGAAGCCAACTGCCCTGTTTTAGGTCTCCCTCTGGTTTGTGAGTCCATGGATGGGCTGTAGGGAGAGCTGCAACAGTGAAGATGGACTCAAGCTCTCTCAAAGCTTCTGGGGCCTTAAGTGGCGCCAGTGATGCTCTCCATGGGCTCAAGTTTGGGCAAAAGATCTACTTTGATGATGGTGGTGGTGGGAGCGGAAGCTCCTCCAAGGCACCGACAGCTCCGGCGAAGGAGGCGGCGGCGCCACCGCCTCCGACAAAGAAGGGGAAGGGCGTGGCACAAGGTGGGGGGCAGCAGCCGCCTAGGTGCCAAGTGGAGGGGTGCAATGTCGATCTGACGGGGGTTAAGGCTTACTACTGTAGGCATAAGGTTTGTGGGATGCACTCGAAGGCGCCTAAGGTCGTAGTTGCAGGCTTGGAGCAGAGGTTCTGTCAGCAGTGTAGCAGGCAAGATTTACTTCCTGTTTGATCTTTTTTGTTCTTGTAGGCCTTGTGTTTTCCTAGAGGCAGCGAAAAAATATTTTTCCTTTTAGTATGCCCCCCTTCTGAATCTGGTTTTCAGGATAAAACTTTGTGAGATAGATGTTGATCTTGATCTTGATTCGTGGGTTAAGCCCTCTTCCAAGCGAGTCTTGATAAGGAATTCGCTTGCTGTTGCTCTAAGTTTGTCGGCTTCATGTGTTAGGTTTGGGATTTATTAATCTATAGGCTTTGTTTTAAGTTCATGGGAATTTGGGCTTTCTGTTGCCAACAATAATGACCTCTAAGAAGCAAAAATCATAATGACTTGAAGATTCACCTTTATTATTGTTGTTTCCTACAGACACTGTTAGGCAGGCTGATATTGGACCTTTTTGGGAGTGTTTTGCCTTTTCGGACTCTGAGTTCTGGATGCTTGTGAAGTTACTTTTCAGTTCATATCGCAATTTCATTTATTCTCCTGTTTGCCTTTTGATTGAACAGTTCATGTATGTACATCTTGTTGTTCGAAAAAAGAGATCATCTTCGTTGTCCAGTGAACTTGCCACTTGATAATATGTTTTATCAGATAATAACTTATTTGTTGGGTTGAATTCGAGTCTGTCTGTATAGAATGCTTAACATCATTTACACAGGCTATGTTGTCCCTCTTATTTGTTGCTTTCTGGTTAGTCTTCTCTAATTCGTCTGCATGATTTATTGGTACTGGATTTATTACTTTGTTTCATATTGTGGCATTTGAGTATCTACGTTGTTCTCTTTTTTCTTAAAAAAAAAAAAGACTGTGTATTACTAAAGCCGGGCTAATTACAGAAGAGTTAAAAGTGGGGAAGATCATCTGCAGAGGTGACTTTTCCCGGTTAGTGCTGAGTCCCCTAGTAGAAAGATGATGTGAGCCTCACCATTGTTGCCTCTAGGAATGTGACAAAGTTGGACTAGAGTGACCTCATCGGTTAGATTCAGAATGCCCTGGAACAAAGATCTAAGATGCCATATTTATATTAGAAGCGAAACTAATGCAGTTCAAGGAGTCGGAGAGAAGCCGCATGTTGTGCAGTCCCAGCACTTAAGCTTTCTGTAAGCCTTTGAGAATGGCAAATCCTTCAGCATGTGTTGGAGATGTCACGTGACAAGGAGAACATCCAGTAGCTAATTTGTTTCCATGTCGGTCCTTGAGGACGTAACCACAACCAGCATTTTAAGAGTTAAGCAAAAAATCTCCATTGCATTCGAGAGTGAAGTCATGATCCGGAAAGATGATAGATGACAGAGTTGCTGATTGATTTGGAGATGCTCCCCCCAGATTTAGTTCCAATTGGAGAAGATCATTGGTGGATATTACCACCTTCCTCCATAACAATGAGGGATTGGCCTGAGGGTTGCGAAAACAAGTTTTATTTCAGTTTAGCCAGATATGGCATAACGATCAAGCAATGATGCTTCAGAGCTAGAAGGGTTGAATCAAAGCAGAGGGGTGAGTTTCTTGTGACCAAGAACCTTGGGACAGCTCGCACTCAAAAAAAAATTTGCTTGGGAGAGTGTGAAGCGTTTGCAAATGTGGCAGGGGCCAACTTGGGAATGGAGGATTTGGGATAAGTAGTTCGGAGTAGGAAGTCGGTTTAGAAGAAGTTTTCACATAAATATTTTGATTTTGGGATAAACATTTAGGGCCCATGGTGCCTTCCATCCAAGCCAAATAGCCTCACTGATGAGTATTTAGGATATTGGTCACAGGATTTTGTATGTTTTTTCCCCTCTTTTTATACTTTATCATTTTTTCAGTTTAATACGTATTACGGAGTTTCAATCCACAGTAATATTTTCAGATTTGTGATTCCCATGTGTCCCTATTATGTCAGTCATCTCCTTCAGAGCATTTAGTATGCACTTCCATTTTGGTTATTGTGGGACAGTCTATCTGGAAGTTGCCTCTCTGTCCGTTTATTAAATTTGACAAGTAAGACTTCCAATGCTGTTCTCATTGATATCTGTTGCTATCTGCTTGAGTCATTAGGTCACAAACCAAAAGCCCAAGTTAAAATTAATCTCTTTTCTTGCAGTTATGGATCCATCAAAAGAAGGGATATGAATCTTTTATGATCAAGTTATTAAATCTAATGATTTTAATAATATTTGTGGGTAAGCCTATAAATTGATTCCCGTGTCAGAAATGGGGCCTGACTTCAGGGTTCTTCTTTAATTGATTTGACCAATTCTGTGTCTTCTCTCTGATTACAGCATTTGTCAGTGGATTAACCTGTTTTCCTTTCTGTGACAATTCGGTGTGGCCGTTGTTCACACATTTTTCTCAAAATCAGACAGTCATTCACATGTTCTTCTCAAACAAGAGCAGTTGTTCACATGTTTTACTTTTTCTTTTGTTTTATTTTCATGGTTTTAAGTTGCTTCTGGTATGTCTCTGCTACCGTATGCTATTTGTTTTCAGCAGTTGTTCGTATTTTCTTCCTTTTGAATACATGAAACGTCAGTTTAGTCCAACCGTATGATAGGATACCCATTTGCTGTATTTTGGAAGGCAGGATTCTTTCAGATTGTCTTTCAAATTATGTATTGACTCCAAAGAGAGGTATCATGTCAGTGTTTTCTTTACCTTTTTCTCTTTTTCTTGTTGGTGGTCCTATTCCACTGACTCGGGATCTTCTCTTTTATTTCCTACTTCTTATCACATATTTTCATGCTTTGAGTTGCAAGCAAAAAAAAAGTATTATGTTTCTTAGATCTTTGCACCTCTACTCGTTGGCAATACAACTGCCATGTAATGTGTTTGGCCAAAGACCACCAACCACCACTACCCGTTTCTCTTTTCTCCCACTCTTTCTTTCCCTCTTCTCTTTCAGTTTAACTCTGCTGCTGTTGCACTACCATGTTGGACTCTTCCACCCGGCTTATACATAAACTTTGTTAACAAAAAAGTAGTCAGATAAGTCGTCGGCTTCCAAGAATTTTATACAAAGACAAACTTTTTCCACAATTTTTACTAAAAAGAAAAAAACACTATAAAATTAGTTATTTTCTGATTCCCTACTAATAATTAAACCACAAGACTTTAAGTTAAAAATCTACCAGCCTTTCTCATGTATCTGTGTCTATTTCTAGCTCAGGAAAGTTCCGTCAAGAAACATTTGATCTTGGCTGCCTGACCAGGGAAACTTTCATACTCCAAATTTAGCTGATTTTTGTCTTTTACATTGCTTGGTTGATACTGGATTATCATTTTAATTGCTTACTTATTTCCCTAATAACCATCCAATCCTATTACATAATGTGAATAATCTGTTAGCAAAGAAAACCCAAGAAATAAAACTTACTCAACAATTAATACCGACACAAATTTGTATTGATAAAACTTCATGCTGAGGGGGGTAATGTTATAGTTTTCAGAATATCTAGCACGAGACCTATTCTCTTGGGTGGAGAACACGATCACTCTGGTAAGACATCAGTGGTTTAATTGCGAATAAAGTTGTAACAGCAGAGGACACATGGTTTATTTTGGAGCTCCTCTGTAATATATTTGAGTTGTGTTAGAGTCCCCAGTGTAAATCATACTTTTCCTATCATTCATAGTAGCAGTACATTTTCTGTTTTCTTTGCCTAAAGCTGTCATGAGCTCTCTGAGAATAATCACATAGTAAATGATGTGGAAGTTAAACTAGGTAGTTTAGTGCTGATAGAAGCAGCATTTATATTTTGAACAAATAACAAACTGGAACTGATGCCTTGGACCATGAATCAGTATTAAGTTGTGGCAAATATCATGAACTTATGCTTGAACTCCTAATTAGTCATATAATATTACAGGTGATGTTAATCTATTGTTTTGTTCATCCTAAGAATTATAAAATGGTCTTGTCCGAATGATATTTATCAAGTATTGCGTTCCATTGGATTTGTCCCTAATTGCATTGATGGATAAAATATGTCCATAAGATGGTTGGCATTTATTGTTCACTAAACTCATGACTTTTAGAATGTGAAAAGGTGGAACTGAACATAAGATGGTTGACATTGTTGTAACTAAACCAGACGAGAACAATATTTCCCCTGTGCTAGTATCCATTTTGTACCACTGGTTTATTTTTTAGTGCATGAGGTCATGCATGGTCTAGAGTCATAGATCAACTTGTTTACCCTTCACCGCTAAGTTGGTATCACATGAACCTCAATGGCTGTCTCATTCGATGGAGTTTCAATCCATGTCATGCTAAGGTTTCATGTAGATGGGATTTGACAATATTACTTATTTATCAAATTCATGCAAATTGTGATTCAAACCACCATTAATAATGTGAGTTAGAATTTTCTTCATTCACTCTTATATAGTAAATATTTAGTACATTTTCCTCGAGAAAAAGTACATTGGAGAGGATTCACACAAACTGACATGAGGTTGAGCCTTGAGAACAAGTAGTGGACTTATTTGAGAAGCTCCATAGAGCATTTTCATATGCGCTAGCTATGCTTCATGGCCTCCCTATGTTGATAGAAGGCTTAGAGAACGGTGGTGATGTTAATTACAAGAGTTGGTGTTAACATTTCTCTTGACCTAATTTGTTGTTATTATCGATGCACAATATGCAGTTTATTTTCCGGGAAGTTTGAGTCAGTAAATACTTTTTGCTTTTTAAACACCATGGCTATGTTATTACAGGTTTCACCAATTGTCTGAATTTGACCAAGGAAAGCGCAGCTGTCGTAGACGTTTGGCAGGGCATAACGAGCGTCGAAGGAAGCCACCTCCCGGTCCATTTGCATCACGCTATGGGCGCCTTGCATCATCCGTTCATGGTCAGAAGCATCTCAATACAGCTGCATCTATATTGTCGTGCCGATATCCTTCTAAACATGCTGCATTCCGGTGTCGTGCTAATATGTTTTGTTTTACAGAAGATCCGAGTCGATTCAGGAGCTTTTTGATGGACTTCAGCTATCCGTATCTCTCAAGTACTGCAAGAAACCTTTGGCCAACTGCAAGGGCTGGCGATCGGGTGGCTTCCAATGAATGGCATGTGGCGTTCGATACTTCACCTGGTGCTGCTGCAATGCATGGCACTCATGCCTGCTATCAAGGACCACCGGCAGCAACCTTCTGCTCTCCCATGGAATTTCCACCCGGTGAATGTCTTGGAGGAGTCTCCGACTCAAGCTGTGCTCTCTCTCTTCTGTCAACTCATCCGTGGAGCAGCAACTCTGCCAGAAACCGTGCTCCGGCGATCGCACCAAGCAGCAGCACCTTTGATGGCCCTCCGATGGCCCAGTCAGCCGTCCCCGACAATTACGGCACCAGCTCATGGGGGCTCAGAGGCCATGGAAGCAGGACTAGCTCGCACGAGATCCAGCACGCAGCGGGATTAGCGGGAGCAACGGAGGCCAGCGATGCTCATTTCTCAGGTCAGGTGGAGTTGGCTTTGCAGGAGAATGGACAGTGCCTTGACCATGGTTCAGCTAGGTCATATGGCCATTCCAGTCTTGGCATGCATTGGTCTCTGTAGACCCCGAAGAAACCTTGGCCATGTGGATTGGATTGGATGGATGTTTTTTGTGATGAACAGCATCATGAACTCCAAAAACTCTCCGAATGGTAGTTCGACTGCTTAATATCTTATAGCCTTTATCCATCTGTATGAAACCTATGTTACTCTGAGGCATTAGTATGTTGTGATGCCCTTTTGCTAATCTATTTCCGTAGCCGTGGTAATATCCTTTTCTCTGTAGATGGTCAATGATATGTCTTGGTGTCATCGTGTCCGCGATGACGCAAACAATAGATCTGCCGAATCGAAGCTACCAAATAAAAAAAACGTGCCAAGGTACAGGTGATGTGATGGGCAAGACGAGAGTTCTCCTAGGGGCGATGAATCTGATCCCATCTGCCCGCATTGCTGGTCCTCTGCATGTACTCGAGAGCGACGGGAAGAGCGACGGGAAGAAGCCAATCGATCGATGGATGGATACGCAGCAGCCTCTGCTGCTTGCCTTGTCGCATTTGGAAGTAGTAAAGATATCGGCTATCATTGCACGGTTAATAGGGCGTTCGTGGTAGAGCATATCATTGGGCGGTGAAGCGGGCCCCGCAGCATGTGGGACGCGTGTGTTGCTGGGGATGCATTCCCCATTCGGCGGTCGAGTCTTTGGGCTCGTGGAACATGACGATCGTGGGCTGGGAATAAAGCGGTAGAGGGTCCGCGCGCCCGCTCGATTCCGGTTTCGGTCAAAATCCAACTTGATCCCTCCGCCGTCACCGCCGCGCGACCAAATCCCCGGTGTCGGTCTCTCGCGTCGCCTGGCTAAGAAGAACAAGTCGGAAACGGGAGCCTCCGACGAGCGGCGGCGTCTTCACCTCCTGTGGAAATAAATCCTTACGCGTCGCCTCTCCGACTCCCAGTCCGGTAATCGCTCGGTCCTTTCCGGCTATCCCTTTGCTTGAATCCTTCTGCATCTAGGTCGGTTTCTGATCGGATGTCCACGGTGAAATGCCTCTTATTATTGATTATTTTAATCATTATTTTCTAGTAAAAAGATGGAGTTCTTCTGATCCGATCAGGAAAGAGAAAACGTCTTTCATTGCTTTTGCCTCTTATTTGAATCGAGGGTTTTGTTTGCTTTGATCATGGAGGAAGTATAGCCTAAGGTTCTTTGGTTTTCTTTGGTGGAGAGAAATGGAAAAGCTTGATTTTGCACGCGATTTTCTAATTTTTGTGGTTGATCGAATCCGGCTTGTTTAACTTTTTGAGTCTAATGGTAATTGAGATGTAATGTTGGTTCGTTAAGACATGAGTACTGGAATGATTGAGAAAGAGGGCATTTTTTAATATGTTAAGTTCTTCTTTGATGTCGGTGCGTTTGTAAAGAAGCTGTTTACAGAGATTAGAGTCAGAGGAGATCCTCTGAAATGGTAGTAGAGTGTTGATTGATCTCAGGACTTTTCATCTCATGAATTTTCCCTGTCTTGGTACTTGTTTTCCTCTCATGTGCAGCTTAGGCTCATTTTGTCCCTTGTTCTGAGTTCATGTAGCTAGCTTGTATTGGAATTAGCTTAGAATTGGATTCTGGAGTTATGTTGCATGACAAACTCTGATTCTGCTGAACTATTGATTTCTTCTTCAGAAGTTTATTTTGTTTTCTCCCTTTTGGTGGGATAAACCCTTGATAGGTTTTGAATCTGCCTCGTATGAGCAGGGGGGAAGAAGGTTTGTGAGTGGAGTGAATCAAGGCTTGTTGGCTAGTGTTCACCTGTATCATGGATCATCTTGATATAATAGCTCAGGAATTAAGCAGGGATGCTTCAAATTTCGAGGTGGATGGTGTCAAGCATAACAATCTCGACGATAATGATGTCAGCGATGAAGAAATCGAATCAGAGGAGTTGGAGAGAAGAATGTGGAAAGATAGAATTAAGCTTAAAAGAATCAAGGAACGGGAAAAGTTTGCCGCCGAAAGTGCAGCTTCGGAGAGGTCTAAGCCAAAGCATACATCTGACCAAGCTCGTAGGAAAAAGATGTCCAGAGCACAAGATGGGATCCTTAAGTATATGTTGAAGCTAATGGAGGTGTGTAATGTTCGTGGGTTTGTTTATGGAATCATTCCTGAAAAGGGAAAGCCAGTAAGTGGTGCTTCAGACAATATAAGAGCCTGGTGGAAGGAGAAAGTGAGGTTTGACAAGAATGGACCTGCTGCCATAGCCAAATACGAGGTAGAGAATTTTGCTGCCCAGAATGCACAGAACAGCAGGAGCAAACATCATCATAGTCTTATGGATCTCCAAGATGCTACGCTGGGATCTCTTCTATCATCATTGATGCAACACTGTGATCCACCACAGCGTAAATACCCATTGGAGAAGGGCATCTCACCACCTTGGTGGCCCTCTGGTAATGAAGAATGGTGGATATCTTTGGGCTTGCCAAAGGGTCAAGGACCCCCATATAAGAAGCCGCATGATCTAAAGAAGGTGTGGAAGGTTGGGGTACTAACAGCTGTAATCAAGCATATGTCTCCTGATATTGAAAAGATCAAAACCCATGTACGGAAGTCAAAATGCTTGCAGGATAAGATGAGCGCCAAAGAGAGCTCCATCTGGTTGGGAGTTCTGTCTAGAGAAGAAATGACTGTCAATCAACTCTGCTGTGATAATGGGATGTCTCATGTAATTGAGAATAGTGGTCACAGGCGGGATAGGGAGGAGCCAAACAGCAGTAGCAATGAATATGATGTTGATGTCCTTGAAGATGTTTCGGGATCTATTTCATCCAAAGATGATGGGATAAATCTGCAGGTTGAAACACAAGCTTGTGCAGGGAATATAACACCTACTTCGAGGGAAGATCGCTTAGCTGAAAATTCCAATCAACTTGGTTTAAGCAAGGATAAAACGAGCCAACAGCCAAAGAGAAAAAGACCTCGTGGAAGTGCTGTATCTGTTGACAAGCAAATGGTTGCCACTCAGAGTGAGCGCATGCCAGAGGAAACAAGAAATGCTACTACAGATATGAATGGTGCCGCTCTGACAACATTGGCTCATCATAGGCCAAGTGTCAACCGCGAGCCTTGTATGAACCCCAACTCAACACATCAAGAGAGAGATTCTGGAAGCCAATATCTGGTACCACAACCTGGGATTAGCAACTTGGCAAGCTTCCCTTGTGTTAATGTTGCTTCAGAAAACATATATATCGGTGGCCAACCATTACCATATCCAGGACTTGGGAATAGTGAACCGCAGAATGCTACCACATATGATACGGGAGCCAACGATGGATTATATAGCTCATCAGGAGGCTTTGGCATCTTGCAAGATAAGCAGCAGCGCCCCATGTCGATTACTAATCATGGAATAAGGTCTGACAGAAGCATTATTTCCGTAGAGAACAATCTTTATGAAAATGTGATGGCACCTAATGCAAGTTCGCATACAGTCACCGGCGAGATGCATCTATTCCTAGATGAACCATTCTACGGTGAACCAGATAAGCTAGTTGACAATTCCTTTGGTGCACTGCCACTAGATTTTATCAGGATCGGCAGCACAGATCTGATCCCTGACCTTGGTGACATATTGCAAGATGATGACCTGATGGAGTATTTGGGGACATAAGTAGAATTGTTGTCATTGTTTTCTGCTAAATTTGCCGGTTTATGTTTTATCCGATCAACTATCTCCAAGGATAAGGTTGCAAATTCTCTTCAGACTGGTTGGTCTCGTCACCACCCTGTTCATTCAGAGAGAATGGTATCGCCTTCTAGTTGATCCTTGAAATGGTAACATGCTGAATATATCATTTGAGTTTTTGGTTGGCACAATGGTCGATCCCCTCAACATGCTGCTGTTCATCCTCAATTCTGTCTTCTTTCTCTTTCGGCCTCAACGAAAAAACCAAAATCACATGGAACAGGTAACATTTTCATGTCTGCATCTCTTTATCTTCATCCTCCTCCTTTATATTTCATCCTCGTGGCCTGCCGTCGTTAGCACCAAATTGTCACATATCTCTTGCAACAAATAAATGGGTTAAAAGGGTAAAATTTAGACGTAGATAATTCTGAAAATAAGAGATACAACAAATAAATAATTAAACATATGTCTTAAGTGATTTCTTGCATTGTAGAGGATAGTACTGTCGGTATACATGTCAGGATAAATGTGAGATTTGGAGAGAGAGAGAGAGAGAGAGAGAGAGAGTCAAACACGTAATGACGAACAGTTCCATCCTTGACAGGCTTGGAATCCGTCAGCGGAAGTTTCCTTTTTTATTCCTAATTTAATGCTAATCATCAACATCCTAATTCGACGGGTTAGGTATGACGTACCCGTGGCGGCGGGTGGTGTGGTGCCCACCCCTAATGGACGGCATTTGATCAACCTACGTTCTGGCGGATGGGATCCGCGAGTCACCCTTCTTGGAAGGGGCAACTTCGTAATATACGGGGTTCGCGGAGTGTAATTTGGTGAGGTGCCGTCATCCTGTCGTGTCACCACGTAAGCCGTCAGGCGTAGTTCTGCATGACATACGTGCAGGCCGCCTATAAGATGCTGCCACGTGCGATGCAGCATGCGGCCACCTTCCGTCTTTTGGGATGAAATCGAAATCTTTAATGGGTCTATTTATTTTGAGAAGGAAAACAGAGGAAACATTGCAATCGCTATGAGTTCTTGGACCTTAGACACTGGTTAGCATTATTCTCTATTTGAGAAGGCCAATAGAGGAATTGCATTTTTTTTCTTATCTATTCCTCAGAAAACGTAAGATCGAATGCGAAAGGGGGCATACACCGAGATTAGCACATCGGTGTGTCATCGTCTTCTTTAAGATTAGCAAATTTACGTGGCATCTTAAGAGGGGCCACCCTAATGATATGGTTGACCGACTCTGAGGTAGCTCCTTATATTATATTGTTTTGGGGTCTAACAGCGAGTGAACACCTAAATCGCAACTCCAAATTGCATGCAGATTACCTACGCCCGACCAAACAGACTTGTAATAGAATTGCGAGGGTGCATGATTGACACCTTGAAAACTTGCTTTGATATATAATTTCACCGCAGGGTTTATATATGGCAAGTATAAAGTTGCTCTTCGCAAGTTTTTCCCTCCACGCTTGGCATTTTTGTACCGAGTACTACAACACGGGAACGTTGGACGTAAACGTTGACCGATAAAATGCGAGAAGTAAAAGGTGTTCGTTCTAAAACTTTGTAAGAGTTGACCAAATGGAGAGTCTGATCTTGAATGAATGATTGAATAGTCACAACAAGCACCTGTGGTGGTCTGTGAGACTCTCTTAATGCTTACAGTACGTACCGAAGCCATGGCATCCCTTCACTGATTCACGCAATCACTTTCAAGTAAGGTTCTGCCCCATCGAGGGGAGTGGGTGGCGGAGCATCTTTCCCATTAAGCTCCATATCCAAGTCCCCACGAATTAACATGCTTTGCGGAACATACCTAATCCAATTATCTTCGTGGACATGAACAAAAAGTATTGTCTGTCGGCCAAGCGGAATATGACACAAGGCTTCCTGTTCCTATTTCCCTCGCACAATTAGAATAGTCCAACTTCTTTGAAGTTGACAGTGAAAACGATTTATTAATAAAAAGGCGTTGAAGACATGATGTTGTTGTCAGACTTCTTCCTCCGATATGTTACGTATCAGTCGGTATCCAGAAAAAAGGACAGTTAAGTAGTTAATCTCCAGTTGCACCTGATCGCTCCTCCTCTTGTGTTTTCAACAGCCTTCTGATGTTACTGTTAAGAAGAAAGTCGCCAAGCAAAATGTCTACTTAAATCTCAAGTAGGTGGTTGTCAATAGCCTTGTGTTTTAATGCTTATAGTTTTCTTGTGTTTGCAAGCAACGAGGGACGCGTATACTATGCTTCTTTCAACGTTAAGATGTATAACAATGTTTGACTAAGATTATTATTACTGTAGAAGAAGACATGATGCATGGGAAATATATCTGATAGATGTGAGTTCGTAGTTCATCAAGTTTAACAAAATAAGAAGCCTTTCATCGTTATGTATCTGTTTTAAGAATAGTAGCTAGGTTTAGTGCACCAGAGCAGGTACGAGTTATCTGAACCTGGAAGATATGTTAGCTACAAAGACGCTTGTTCAATCCTTGTTTTATCCTGAATATAAATGCTTTAGATTGACTGTAGCAAGCATCAGCTGTAGCACCAAAAGCATTTTGTGTCTGGAGATTCATGTAAACGTATATGTTGGCTGCTACATGCCAGCATCACAAGTGTTATTACTCTAAAACCATTAAACTCTGCACTCTGAAACCATATCTTGGCAAGCTTTAACCTCCATTTCATTCTGAAGATGCACAGGGTCTTCTTGTTCATGTTCAAAATATACATACACACGCGCACTCTCTCTTTCGTTTGTTCTAAAAGAAATCAAGGAAAGGATCCTTCCCTTTCTAAAAGGTGCAGCCTTCTTGCACAACTACACCAGAAGGTCACTAGGAAGCTTTAGGCAACAGACAACAACAAGAACTCTATATACAAACTATAAACAAAGAACAGTCAACAAAATCTCTGCTTGCTTTCCATCTTCTGTGCAATGGATCTAACCAGCAGTCTAATTCACCCATGATGTCAAGTGGGATTAGTATACCGTCGTTCTGCCGTTAAGTCAAGTAGGATACAACAAGGGTGTACATACAATAAACCTCTCTTGTTCATCTGGCTGGCTGTCCACGAGTTTAATATTTGACTAGAGTAGGAAGAATGGCGAGGGTGTATGAATCGTTTGGTTTCTCCGCATACTATTTTATGCGCTGGTCCCACAGAAAAAGGCCACGTTGCGGGAGTTGTTGGACCGCCGAGGGGGAACGCTCAAGCAACGCAGGGTTTTAGTGGGGCCCTCCCGCCTCTGTCGACACAAAGGTCGCATCGAAAGGCACCCAGCCACATACCCCACAGGTTATAAGTGGTTGCACCGGAGCCCACGAAGTGGAGTCGTCCCCCGGCCTGTGGGGTGAGGCCGAGTCGTGGAGTGGGCGCGATGGGGTTCTGACGGAGGAGATCGCGGCCGTCCGTACTGGTCCCGCTCTCGGATCAAGTGGGGTCCGCCGTCCAACGCTCCCCAACTTTCCAGAGACGGGAAGACGGGCCGGGCTCTCCCACCGGCCACGTGGTCCCCCGAGAACCGTGGCGATTGCGTCAGCCGTCGTCGAGGATCCCACGCGAACGGTGGAAAGACGAAAACGCCCAAATCCTTCCGTTAATTAAGATGATCTAATTAATTAACCCAATCGACCGCGTGTACTTAATCTTTCCATGGTCCAAAAAGTCGGTGCCATCCGCTGCAAGAAAAGCTACGGCAAAGGAATCAAGTGTCAAAAGACGTAGCCCATTCAACACAGGTGCCATGTACGACTCCGAGCAGTCCAAAAGAACATTTCTGATATCTCGGAGTCATTTATGAGCGTGGAGACTACAGCTCGCATACTTCCTAAACTACTTCGTGGTCCGAACATCTTCTAATATGAACGCTACAACGTTTTGGGCCAAGTGTACAATACCTACGTTATCCACATTCATGTAGGACATCTCAAGGTAGCAACGTACAAATTGACCAGTCAACCTCATCACTATTAGGATTCAATGGTCGCTTATGCAAGGCGAATGATTATGGAAAACCCATTTTTATGTCACTGTTCAGTGTGAGATAGGGGCAATACGGTCCAAGTAAAATAGGTAAGCCGAACCAACGTTCGGAAAACCGCCCTTGGATCAGCTCACGGCCGGAAGCGGTGTCCACTTTCTCCCAATGTAGCTTTCAATTGGTTTACGGCGTTTCTTGTCCGCGTTATCTGGTTCCGTTAGGGAGGTCACTTTACCGCCCTCCTTCCCCTCTTGTCTTTCTCGAAGCAACTCCACTAACGCTTCAGAAAATAAAATGGTGCACGCCTCTATGGCCTTCATATTTCCTTTGAAACTACTAGTAGCAGCGGTAGTGGTGGCAGATTAACTTTAGGATCCCCAGGAGGAGAGAGAGAGAGAGAGAAAGAGAGAGAGATCGGCTTTCTTAGACCATCTGGAGCACAGAGAGATCGCCAATGAGTAAAGAACGAAATCGGTTTCGCCATTAATGAGCTGTTTTGGCCCAAGCGGGAGGGAAATAGAGAGAGAAGCAAGCAGAGCCGGAAAAGGAGGTTCTGGCGAGGAATTTGATGGCGAACAAGGGGAGTTCCAGCCAGGGGCAGCCGCAGCAGATCTCCTTCGCCATGATTCATCCTTCTTCGTCCTCCTCCTCCGTCGTGCATGGAAGCTTCATGTACTACTCATCTCGCTGGACCTGGCCACTAGCCATGTCTCGAAAATTATTCTCTTCTTTTTTTCATGTGCTTTGAGGGGAGGAAAGTTGTCTTTTTCTCGTATGCGATACATCGATAGGAAATGGTTTGGTTATATGTTCTTGATAGCTATGTTCTTGCTCTAGGTTCCTATCGCATGTCAATAGAATGAAAGATTACCAAGTTTGTTCCCGGGTTTTCTAGGACGGTTTTGTTCCAACGTGGTGTAGATTTGCCTCTAGGAGTCTAGTGATCATAAAACTCTTCATTTTGGTAAAGAAATTTGAAGGTTTTGGTGCATAGACATGCGAAAATATAACCTAAAATTCAATTGATGGAAGTGGGTTCTTTTCTTGGCGACAAGTTAGCTTAAATTCATTTCAGGAGTAGTAGCATGAGTTGGGGCGATTGTTCGTTGTTATTGGAAATCTTGTGCTGATATGATGCAGGAGAAGCAACGAGGCCGGAGCTTACGACTTGGGAGAGCTGGATCAAGCACTGTTCATGTATTTAGATGGGCAGGATCACTCATC